CTTTCAGATGTTGGAATGAATCCAACAATTATGTTCGCAAATCTTTAACCCCCCCCCCCCTCTTCCGTTACAATAAATTGTGTTGCACTGGCACAGGCATTGTGTATGATAAGTTCGTCAGACAATACAGACGTAATGCAAAGATATGGTACGGTTTGTTAGAATGATAGAACTCAGAATGGAAGTTTTGAAAAGTTTCAATTTTGTTACCTTACAGCCCCATAACTTTGGTTAACAAAAAACTGGTTTTCCTCATCTTTGTCTATCAGCTGTTTGTCGCCATTTTGCTAATCATGTAAGGCGGGAAGCCATATGAAAAAGTAATTCATCACTTTATAAGAAAAACAGAATCGTGCGTTAAAAATCCAATTGTTTTCCTAACCTCAAACAGGTCATGTGTCACTCTGGCTTAAAATAGCAAACATGTAGTCCATGAGATTTGGCAACATTGCATTTCAAGCGTCTAAATCCAAGTGGAGCTGAATAAATAAAACAACTGAATATCTCATAAAACTTTCATGTATTTCATATTCTTTACAGATTTAAGTACATTATACTCAACATATTTTGCAGTTTCTACAATTGTCTCGTGACTAATAAATACAGTTTTAAATTTTCAGAACCAGCTTTTTGAATATTATTACCTTTCTTGTTACGCTGGAAACCCGAACTGCTTCATGTCATTATGCGGTTGTATCAACTTTTTTCCTTTACTGGTCGGGTTTTGCTGAATGTGACCCGCACAATGTTTTCGAAAAAGTACTTTTCGTCAAATACCACCCAAGATTTCATAAAAATTGTATATAAAAACCTTTTATTCGATTTCTTCATGAATCTGACTATTCATATTTTATTTTGTAAACTTTGGCAAAAATTCAACGCTGGTAAAAAAGCTGATAGAACCAATCTGAGAATGTATAAGTAGAAAACACATTGACTTTATATAAAACTGTATAGATATGTTAAAATAATACAAAAATATATATACAATCATCACAGAACAAAAAACATCCTTCTCTGGCTTAAGTACTTGTGTTACAAACTGAAATTGTGACTAAAAGGAATGAATTCGAAAAGAAAATGCTCAAGACCTGAATCACAAATATTTCTTTTTACAGGTACAAAACAAAAAATTGGCTTTGTCTAACACGAGCAGTAATGGTTAAGATGATACCACAAACAATATTTGTAAATAGATTGCTTGCTTTTGGAATTTGAAAACATGAATTTTGTGTACATTTGGTAGAATATTAAAAATCCGACACTTCAGGAACATATATCTTTTTATATACACCCATACTAACAAAAAACACTCTATTTTACATCTACACATCGTATCTACTTATGGACAAAAGGAAATATGTACATTCAAAATAAATATAAATCTTTTCAAACAAAAAAATAATAAATAATCATTCTATATACATTGGGCAAAACTATAGCTTTTATGTATATTATATTACGGTCCCGTCTCCTAAATAAAGAAGTCTGTAGTACCTCCGTTCTGCGTTTCCGGACCACAATTTTTAAAGAAATCTGCATCTGGCAACACCGCACCCCACTCCGAACCTTCAGGTGCCTCGCTGCTTCAGTCTTCGTTTTTGTGTATTACGGATCACATAGATACGCTATCGCTTCCGAAATTTATTGTGCATAATGGCGGACAGAAGTACAAAACGACCAAGGAGCTCAGACAGAAAACATTTGGATAGTTCTGAGATTAAATCAATGTTCAAAACAGTGATGCGGAGGTTGAGTGCAATCGAACAGGAACAGAAACGTTATCGTCGATCCCTAACCCCTTCGTTTGACTATTCGACGGGAAGTGATAGAGGAAGTGGTCCGAATATGAGCCCTGCACTTATTATGGGCCCCCAATATATTTCAACTAGAGCACGTCGCGACATCTATGAATTTCGTACTAAAATACTTCTACTAGACCCCCAAACATTTTTCTGTTTATGCACGCAGTCTCGTGTGTATCTCTATAGTATCAGGTGACATAAGTTTATTTGTGTAGTTCAACAAATATTTTACGGTAAGTGTTTTTGTGCTATTTATTAACGTTTATGTTTAAAACTGGTGAGTTGATGTGTTAGTATGTTAGAATAGTGATCAGTATTTGATATCCCAACATAAAAACTAACCTAATAATGGATTGAGAAGAAATTGAATGCTTTTAAATATTCAGATGGAATGTTGCTAATATGGGCCCCTACCGTGGTCCTATTATGGGACAGGGCTCATATTCGGACCAAGTCTTAATAAAGTTGTTTTTGCAGTTCATTATGCCACGAAGCAAGGCGAAGTTTATTTCAAAGAACTTAAGACAAACATGGAGACGTGAAGATATGGTTAAGGCTATGGACGGTGTTAATAACAAAATAATGGGTCTTAAAACTGCAAGCAAACAGTTCAGCGTGCCACGATCTACACTTCAAAGACTGTTAAAAAAACAAAAGGAAGGTAACTTAAATATTAGTGACGTAGTTAAAACTCAACTAGGAAGAAAGACAACATTAGGAAAAGAACTGGAGGAAGAACTTGTTCAATATGTTTTGTCCATGGAAGCTACTTACTATGGTCTCACAAGAAAGGACATTAGAAAAATGGCATATGTCTTAGCTGTTTGTAATGGAATAGCTCATCCATTTAAAAATGGTGTGGCGGGGAGAAGCTGGTTGGATGCATTTTTACTACGTCACAAAAGTGTACTTTCTATTCGAAGACCAACAGGAACTTCCTTCGCTAGAGCTTCAATAAGGAAAATGTGGAGCAATTTTTTGACAATTTGCAGAGTGAATACTCAAAAAATAACTTTTCGCCTCACCAAATTTACAATGTAGATGAGACTGGGCTTTCAGTTGTTCAAAGTAAGGTGGCATCAGTGGTGGGAAGAAAAGGAAAACGGCAAATTGCTTCAATTACCTCAGCCGAACGGGGTTCACTAGTTACGTTTATAGCTGCAATGAGCGCTGGAGGTCAATTTGTACCGCCCATGTTAATTTTCCCGAGAAAAAATCGCAACGAACAGCTGATGCGAGGGGCTCCTCCAGGTTCAATCTATGCAGTACATCCAAGTGGGTGGGTGCAACAGAATTTGTTTTCCGATTGGATGAGGCATTTCATAAAATTTGTTAAACCAACAAAAGAATGTCCAGTTCTGCTAGTGTTAGATGGCCATTATAGCCACACACGAAACTTAGAAGTAATTCGACTAGCTCGTGAAAATCATATTTCCATTATCTCTTTGCCGCCTCACTCAACTCATAAATTACAACCCCTTGATAAAACATTCATGGGAAGTTTCAAGGCTTATTACAGTGAGGAAATTAGAAATTGGCTTCGTGTTAACCAACGAGCCCTCACACAGTTTGACTTGGCAGAACTTTTAGGTAAAGCCTTTTTAAAATCACAGTGTGCCGAAATAGCTGCTAGTGGTTTTAGGGCGACGGGAATATATCCGTTCAACCGTCACATTTTTTCTGAAGCAGATTTTATATCTGAACGAATTCAGGCTGAGAAAAACTGCAACATTTTTCCTCAAGCGCAGCCTGTCACAACAGAACCCCAGCATGGTACCCCAGAACCTCAGCCAGGATGTTCTCTTTGGGACGATACAGCTAAATTACAATCCCAGGCAACATCGTCGCCGTCAAATTCCAATTTCTCTAGACCATCTGTTCCAGGAAAGGAAAATTCCGTTAAATTGGTCTCACCATTTGACATTTCACCTGTACCTTCTGTCACAAAGAAAAATACCACTCGGGGAAGAAAATCAACTAAATCGCAAGTGATCACCTCTTCCCCCTACAAGGATGAGTTAGAGAAATCCTGCACGCCTAAGAAAGCAAGCACCAAACGACAAGTCTTTTTAAAATCAAAAGCAAAGAAGACAACTAACAAAAAAAGACAGCAAGCAAAAGACAATAAAGTCAACGACTCTGAGGATGAAAGTCACGAGTTTGTCCCAGACGATGAAGATATGGATATCGACGAAATTGGCAAATCTGTTCCTGATGACTGTGATACAGCATGCCTATTTTGTGATGGTTGCTTTTCCGATGACCAGAGAGGAGAGCTATGGATTCAATGCTTCATGTGCAATCAATGGGCTCACGAACAATGTTCAGGTGCCGAAAAAGATGCATATATTTGTGACTTTTGCGTGTAATATTTAGTTTTTAAGTTGAAATGTATTTTCATTTTCATTTTCAGTTTTTTTTATTTGAAAAATATATGTTTTTTCAAATTGTTAGATACCTGTCAATTATTTTACTAGGGGGCCCATATTCCACGCAGTCTAATCCAAAAGTAGATCTGTACATAATTTAAGTGTTGACACAAATTCGACCTAAATTTAATTTTTTTGATAATGCCTTTTTAATATACCATAAGGTAAACCTTTGAGCGTGCAGTGTGTAATTTACTGGATATTTATTCGTAAGTTTCCAAAATTTATAAAAAAAAAACAAATGGGGGGCTCATATTCGGACCACTTCCTCTAATGATTTGGATCATTATGACGACGATGCTGACGCTGACGAGTTGATTACAGGTGAAGATGAGTCACAGAGTGTTCAAGAAAACAACAACGCTCCTGAGAGCGTTGCCGCTGGTAAGAAAAATTTTTTGGTTAGGAATTTTGTTGATTTGGTGATTCATATGTTAAGATACTATATTTATTTTTTCGACATTATTTGTACCTAGAGTGGTATAGATATATGTACTTATACTAAAGCAGCCCGAGTCTAGAGTGACGCAGGACATATAATGCTTCTGATTCAACTTAATCTAGAGTGATTCAAGTTTTTTTTTGGAAAAAACAGCCTGTGTCTAGAGTGACACGTTCCACAAGGCTTTTTAACTTAATCTAGAGTGGTTACAGTTTGTGAAATGTGTGTAGAGTGACACATGATGGGATGCTCCTTTAATTCATGATTTTCTCCATTTTATTAGCACCTATTGTTATCGTTATCTAACCTAGAGTGGTTATAGATATGTTATGCCCCTTTTTTTCTTTTGGTGTTACAGACAACTTGATACCAACAACAGTAAACATTAGTTCTATTCTCGGTGAAGATGAAATTCAAGAAAGGGTTTTTTCGGAGCCTATACTTGAAGAGTTAGTTCCCCGCTATACCAAGGTTTTGCTAGGCGGATTGAAAGAGGAGGTAAAAACGGACCTTATCAAGAAATATCTTCCTCCGGAAAATTTTAAGGTCATTGTACCTCCTGTAATCAACCCCGAGGTCAAAGTAGCTGTTCAAGAAAACACATTGAAGAGGGATGCAAGGCTATCTAATCTACAAGGACAGGTTGCAGCTGTCATTTCAATATTAATAAAATTCACATCAAAATTGGCGAAAGAAAGTGGGGAGGAAAATATTAAACATATTGAGACTACAAATGACGCGTTACGCCTGCTTTGTGATGTTTTTTATCATGAATCAGTGTCAAGAAGGGAGCTTTTACTGCTAAATTTGAATAAGGACCTTAAGGAAACCTTAAAAAATACCACCATTTCAGAGTATTTATTTGGTAAAGAGCTAGAAACCACCATAGAGGCTGCAAAGAAGCTTGAAAAGTCTGGGGAGCAGCTGAAGATTAAAAAATATAAGCCATCGTTTTCCACCATGGCCACTACTTCAAAACAGGGAAACTTCCGGCGCCCATTTGCAAAGGGAGTGCAACAGATGGGTCAAAAAGTTCAGAGACGCACTCCATCGCAAAACAACAACCCGAGAAGATCCAAGACTCATTACTATTCTCAGAGTCATCGTATCAACAGCAGCGTCGAGAGGAGACGCCGTCATTGAATGATTCAGTGGAATCACTATCACAGCAGCAGCAGTGTCTAGATGTGACACAGTTCTTAGAGGTTAGTAAGCCGTGTGGCGGATTACTACCTTTTTCCAATAGGTGGAAAAAGCTAGGTTTTCATAAGAAGGTTATTTCATATATAACTGGTCTAAAAATTCCTCTTATTAACAAACCCAGACAAAAAACGGCTCCTTTAGAGCCCTTAAGGTCAAAAAAAGAATGTGATGCTATTGATATTATTATTAAAAAATCCTTGCAAGAGGGAATTTTTTCTATAGTAAAACCCTGTAAAGATCAATTTATTTCAAATGTTTTTATCGTGCCAAAACCTGATGGCACTAATCGATTGATCATTAATTTGAAATCCTTTAACACATTTGTAGCAGCATCACATTTTAAGTTGGAAAATCACAGGACAGTTACCCAGATAGTTACACCAAACTGTTTCATGTGCAATATTGATTTAAAGGACGCCTATTATTTAGTACCAATACATGATTCACATAAAAAGTACCTACGTTTTCAGTTTAAGGGCTACATTTATGAATTTAATTGTTTGCCATTTGGATTGAGCTGCGCGCCTCTAATTTTTACGAAGATTTTAAGGCCAGTTGTATCTCATCTTAGAAAACGTGGGTTACTCTCCGTCATATATTTAGACGATTTTCTACTTCTTGGAAGAACTTACAAAGAGTGTGTAGTTAATACAAGGGAAACTATTAAACTCTTAGAATACTTAGGCTTTATTATAAATTATAAAAAAAGTTCTCTCATTCCTAATCAAAGTTGCGTTTTTCTTGGTTTTCAATACAATTCTATTTATATGACAGTGTCATTACCCGAAGAAAAACGTGCTAGGTTGCAAAAATTGTTACTACGTTTTACTAAAACTAAAACTTGCACCATAAGAGAGTTCTCCAAATTTATTGGAAATTTGGTTTCAGCCGCTCCAGCACTAAAATATAGTTTTTTGTACACTAAACTATTTGAACGTGCCAAAATGAAGGCCTTATATCATGTTCAGGGAAACTATGACGCAAAAATGAATATTTCCCCGCATTTGTTATCTGATTTGTCTTGGTGGCTTAAACACGTCACTTTATCGAATAATTCCATTCATAATGAGGAATTCGCTCTTGAAATCTTTTCAGACGCTTCTAAATCTGGGTGGGGGGCGTACTGTGAAGGTAAAACTACATTTGGTTTCTGGTCACTTCAAGAAAAACAAAAACATATTAATGAATTGGAATTATTGGCAGTCTTTTTTGCGATAAAGTGTTTTACGCAGGGTCTATCTGATTGTTATATTCTATGCAGAATTGATAACACCACTGCAGTTTCCACTATTAACAGATTTGGAAGCGTACGGTTTCCAGCTCTGAATAAATTAGCCAGAAAGATCTGGAATTACTGCGAGAAAAAAGATATAATTATCTTTGCATCATATATTAATTCCAAAGATAATGTACATGCCGATAGAGCCTCCCGTCAGATTCACAGAGAAACAGAATGGTCAATTTCCGAAGCTGCCTTTTCAAAAATTTCCAGTAAATTTGGTGACCCGAAAATTGACCTGTTCGCAAGTCGCATTAACAAAAAATGTAAACTCTTTATATCATGGTTTCAAGACCCGGAGGCTCACGGAATAGATGCTTTCACCTTAAGTTGGAATGGGTTGAACTTTTATGCCTTTCCACCCTTTTCCTTAATATTAAGAACGTTGCAAAAAATAATTAGAGATAAGGCGGAAGGCATTGTCGTTGTACCTCGATGGTGTTCACAACCCTGGTACCCACTATTTAAATCCTTATTGATACAGGAACCCCTAGTTTTTGGCCCTAACGAAACTCTACTTTCATTTAGCGGGACCCCACACCCCTTATGGAAAAACCTTTCCCTGGTAGCAGGGCGGTTATCAGGGAAGCACTTCTACAAGGGAAGGTGCCTTTAGCTACTCTGGATATTTGTTTAGCTTCGATCACAGAATCAACCTTGAAACAGTATAATGGGGGTCTACGCCTGTGGTGGGAGTTTTGTGTTAACAAAAACATTATTCCATATGAGGTAGCTGTGGAGGACGTTCTGGAATTTTTAACCATTCACTTTGAGAAAGGCGCAACTTATGGAACCCTTAATTCTTATAGATCGGCCATAGCTCAGATTGCAGGGCCACAATTTGGCCAAGATTTTAGGGTCAAGCGTTTCTTCAAAGGAGTTTTTAGCAAAAAACCACCTACAGCTAGATATGAGAATATTTGGGATCCCCAAATAGTATTATCCTATGTAAGGACGCTTGGAACTAAAACTCTTTCTCTAGCAACCTTAAGCAAAAAACTTGCGGTTTTGTTGGCCTTGGCCACCGGCCAACGTATACAAACATTAACACTTATAAAGATTAATAATATCTCAGTTCAATCTCACGTAATCAATATAAAGATACCAGACCGTATCAAAACATCCTCAATAAATAAACCGCAACCCCTTTTGGTTTTACCTTTTTTTGATAATGATCCGCAACTATGCGTAGCTAGAACACTATTAACATATCTTAGTGCTACCGAGAAGTTAAGAAACTCTTGTGATTGGCTTTTTATTACCTTTAAGAAACCACACAACAAGGCATCTGTTTCTACTATATCCAGATGGATTAAAGATATGCTAGAAAATAGTGGAGTAGATATGACCATATTTAAACCACAAAGTACAAGACATGCATCCACCTCTTCTGCAGCAAGGGCTGGGGTCAGTTTTGATTCCATAAGATTAGCGGCAGGTTGGTCTAACGATTCTAGAACGTTCGCAAACTTTTATAATCGCCCTGTCGTAGACAATTCTAAGTTTGCAAAAGTTATACTAAATTGTTAAAAAAAAAAAAAAAAAAATATATATATAATAAACTTGTGTATCTTAAAATAAGTAAGGAGTTGAAACTTAATTTAGTTGAGATAGTAATTATTTTTAGTTACCATGTTATTTCAACCATTATTCAAATAAATTTATGCGTTGTTGCAATTACTTTAAACATCTACAGACTTCTTTATTTAGGAGACGGGACCGTAATATAATTATAAGATCAAACGAACTTACCTTAAGTGATGTTCGATCTTGATTATATTACGGTCCCGTCGAAGTAAATAAAGTCCCACCCTGCCCTGTTATTATAAAAAATAATCAACTGGAATTCCCCTTTGCAACAACAACTTTAAAATGACTGAAGCAGCGAGGCACCTGAAGGTTCGGAGTGGGGTGCGGTGTTGCCAGATGCAGATTTCTTTAAAAATTGTGGTCCGGAAACGCAGAACGGAGGTACTACAGACTTCTTTATTTACTTCGACGGGACCGTAATATAATCAAGATCGAACATCACTTAAGGTAAGTTCGTTTGATCTTATAAATATACATTAATAATAACAACAGGACCTTTAGTTTTTCTTCAGTTGGCACTATAACGAACGACAGACGTTCTTTTGGCACGAGTCCTTGGCATTACGACATGGTCGCGTATTTTATTGCAATTTGTCGAGGAATTTTTGCACTCACACAATATTTACATACCGTTAAGAACCAAATCGACAAGGGAAAGTCAGGTCGAATATTATATACTACATCACCTACTGGTTGCTTCGACACCTTTCATCGTTTCTCATATTGCATTCTTTCGCTGGACATACAATGGCCACCTTTTCAAAAATACACCTTTGATCTCTCCCTTGCTCATTTGGTTCTACGTATTGAATCATTCACGATTCGCTTTCAACATCACTAACACACTCATCCTCCATGTCCATGTCTATGTATTCACCGTATTCGTCTGTCGTTTCCTCTTTCCATTTGCTACTATGATGGCTGTTGCTCTGTTGACTGTTGGGAGAAGAAGACTTCTGGCCATTGTGACCCCCCGTCTTCGCCTCTTCTTCCTGTTGCATCCTCTTGTGTTTCGTCCGCCTGTTTTGGAACCATACTTTCACCTGGAACAAGGGACAGAAGCTCTTAAGATGCAAGTTTGGTCAAATAAGGCAGGTATTGAAGATAGTTATGTATTCTAGCATTGATTAACGTGTTCTTACAAGGTAACCAACCTATATGTTTTATTTGGAACGAGGCATTAAAAATGGCATCAAGTAGATTGACTCTATACTTCCTACATTTATAAGGACTAAATTTAAAATATTTTTCTCACTGATTTATACTTCTTAACCTTTAAACGTCACTGAAGCTTTTTCGCTTAGTTTTCACAAGTAAACAGCCGTATTGAAGATTACTAGAGAGCTTGGACGACGTTGTATACGGTTGGTAGAGGTTACAAACGAAAAACGAACAGATCCTATTCAGCCTATACTACAGTTACCTCCCGACTATAACCTGACATCCTCCCGAAAATCCGAAATGCAACTTTTGCGATTCCCCAATGCAGGGAGCACAAACGATTTGCATTTCAAATCGCCCAGGCGCATTCTCGGATGTATAAATCTCTGACAGACGTAAATATTGAGCTGTCAAAGCGAACGAGCCGATGATTTGCAGTCTGCGGAGCGTCTCCCCGTCCGCGTCCCAATGCAACCGCCGAAAGTTGTTCTGACGCATCGGTATATAAATCATACACCGTCGAAGCCGAATCCGAATATTTACGAACTGGCGAACAGTGAAATGTATGCAGATAGCTGTTGAAACAATGCCAGCTCGCGATACACGAGCCCCGTCAACGCAAGTTCGTTTTTTACGACAAAAATTGTACCTAACTTTCAGGATCTACTGTTAGAGGCAAATTTAATCCCACCCACGCTACTATTCCTTTGTTCTTTCAAACTGCTTGATGCTCCATCTGGCGGCATCCAAGTGAAACAAACAGGATTGTTAAGTATATCCGATCACTTCCCAGTTGCACCACGCTGCCTCGTAGGCACTTACCACGGTACCAACGTGTAAACGATTTTTTGGATGAACGTATCCGCAACAGCGAGTATGTTTTGTAAACAACAAATTGAGTGAAACCAGAGATGGGCACCAGCAGGATTCGAACCCGCATCTTCTCCATTACCTGGAGTCGAACAAAGATACAGTGGCGTGTTGGTTGACATCTGGTGCTGCAGACTAATTGGTTAGTTCGGCCTCACGGAATGGAGGCGATGCGGGTTCGAATCCCGCTGGCGCCTTTTTTCGTTTCTCTCAAGTTCACCAAACATACTCGCTGTTATCCGAAAAATACATAAGTTGTATTGTAGCGATGAGCCCGATGCAGTATGATATTTGTACATGATTTCTGTTGGATCTGATGACATTAGAAATCACCGCAGTAATTTCGGCGTAGTATTTTGCGTTTTTTTTTTTTTGAGGAAATCTACAGTTCGTTGATAATTTTTATTGAAACTGCAAAAAATGCTTTGTTATTTATATTCCTCGAACTGACAATTGCTTTTAAATAAAAAAGGGCAGAATGTAAATCGAATAACGTATGAGCTAATTTTATTTAAATTTGTGAACCCAAAAAGTGAGCCAAACAACTCCATACAATCAGTTCTCCACCCATAGGATAACGCTAGATGTAATCTAGAAATTCTCCCCTAGACTTACTGAAAGTATCGACCATGTGGCAACGTCGGTCATGCTATGCTGGCCAGCTCGAGCAGTGTGGCGTGAGATTTGGCGGCACCGCGAGACGCAGGCAGGATTTTGTGTGCATCGTTGAAGTTCGTAGTGTACGACAAGTGCGACACGTGCGTGTGATATTTCACTAAGATTTAAGAGAGGTATGGCAGGGAAATAATGTCCATGGACTAATTTATGGGTTAGACTGACTTGATCCGTTTAATTTCTCTGTTATACATGTTCGTAATTAACTTTTTTTCTTAACTTGCGCAGAACATAATCCTTAATGGACGGAGTTGAGTGGGAAATGCAGAGTCAACCTACTTGACGTAATTATTTGTATTTTCCAACTATTCCTTGAGCTTCTGCTTGCAACGAATATCGATATCTTCCTTGAAATCTACACCACCGAACTGTTCTTATATTTCCAATAATGAACGCTCGTAAAAATTAATTGACAAATGGCAAGATGACTGAAATCGGTTTAAGCGAAGAATTTTCATAAGTGATCGTTGTTGAAACGTTCACATTATAAGATGCTGATTGCGAATCCAATCGGCAATATTTTCTCTTTTATACCATGAGCTTAATTGACTACCACTGACTGTTTGATTTTCATTAATTTGTTGATTTGCTCGAGCAGTTGCTAGCAGGTTTTTGTGCAAATATGGCCGCGAAATCGTTTTACTTCCCATGCCTACTAGATGTCATATGTCGAAAAACAATGTCACTCATTTCCGTCGGTCTGTTTGTCTGTCGGTATGTCCGCTGATCTTATAACCGCCTATAACTTTCGATAACATTTTTACATAGTGTTACTACTATGCTAAGGAGAAAAAAGCTTTGCAGGTTTTGAAAATCTGTTCAGTAGAGGCGGAGACTTCGTTTTTCGAATTTTCAGATGATCATGACCATATTCCAAAAAAAATATTGTAGAGGTTAGAAATTAAGGGTTGTATGGGGTGGCAAAAAGTATATCTCAATTTTGTGACGTTGGGATACTTATACTACTCCAACCCCAGGATTCATACGCACATATTAGGCATATTTTACAAACCATAGATATCCTCGTACAATTACCCTTAAAAAATATCTCCTACAGTTGGGTGTCGATACGTGCGACGTGGTTCCCCGATGGATAAGCGTCGTCGTCGGTGGTCGTACGTCATAGTCGGCAATCAGTTCCACACTACTGTTGCCTGTGTGTACTATGCATTGTGGAGGGCCAATATCGTCATTTACTCAGAAAGGAGGAAGAAGGTCCTTCATTTTTTGTTATACCGCGTGGGAGTCGGAAGCCATATATGACATATTTTCAAAAATGAAGTCCCATTACCTGCTCTATGGCCCCTCAGCATAGCGCCTTACAAATATAATCGAAATCAATGAAGTCGCCTCGGAGATTACGCGGTAACACTGACGTAAAAAGTTTTGAGGGGCTCAATCACAACTTTAAAAGCTTTATATCGACCACAATCTTACTAATGTTTATAATCTAATCTAAAACGATTTTAAATTGGGCAATTATCAAATAAACGGCATTAAGTTTTTCTAAGTTAAGCGAAAATTTGTAGTCAGTAAGTAAGTAAGTTTCATTAAATTAAATATTTAAAACACACATGACAACAGCGCGTCGGTCATTCATCACTCTTATCGAACCGTCAATCGATCGCAAACGGTAACAGTGGTTAGTTATCCTTTTGCATAGTTTTGTTATAAGAAACTTTTTGCTTCTTTTAACACCCTCTAATAACGTTTACACCCCGTATAAGGAAAAAGGTATGACATCGCGGAAACTAAGGTTTGAGGTTCTTGGTGTCTGTCTCACTCATGCAAATTAAATACTCGACCTCAATGAGTATGTGACGATCCTGTATATCTCCCTTCTTCCTATCGCTACAGGGTGTCAAATTAAAGCGTAAAAAAGGAGTTTAATTAAAATTCAGAGTGTAAGTATGTTTATATAGGTTATTAAGAAAAGATAATGCAAAATAAACCCGAAAAAGTTAATACCTTAGTTAAGCGCGCGCCAGTTTTTCATCACAAAGATTAAATGCTGAGAATCTTGAAGATTATGAGACTTTTACTAAAACACATTTTTACCATATAGTGACCATGGCGTAACGTGTTTGCAACTGTGCAAAACGCCGTACGAATTTTAGAAAAATTACAATCCGTAATAAAGGTGCCGTTTTTCGTCGCCAAAAAGGTACAAATTACTCATATTCAAATTTCTACTTGTACAGTACGTCCCGCATACATTTCGCTAACAATTCATTCTTACAAACACCGTAATTTCCTTTCCTACCTCCCGCCCATCGTTTTTCATTTGGTACGGGGGTGACATGACACATGTCATCGCCGGTCTTTCTTCCCACTTTTAAATTATCCCTTTATCTCGGTAATTTTTCATCGTACATTTTGCATGAGAACGGTACTTTGTCGGAATTTTTCATACGGTAATTCAGCCATTTCCGAGACTTTTTGTGCGGACACGCGATGCGACATGTGCGTCACGATTGTCGGTTGCGAAAATGACACTTGCGTAAACGGCGACGTGAAGATCAAATGATATATTGATATTCTGGAATTCATGGTAATAATTTACCTTTGGTGTTCCAGCTCCCTCCTACCAAAAAAAAAGATTCGAGCGCGACAGGTACAACTACAAGATATTGAGAAGTGCACAAATCGGAACATCCTAGCTTTATTTAGCATAGAAAAAAAAGCAATGGAAGGAAGAGTCGTCAATGAAGCAGACTGCCTTCTATTGAACTACATCAATTATGAACAAGGAGTTCAAATACGAGTAGATAAATAAAATCCCAAAGAGTCATTTTTATCATTATTATTCACAGCTGACCGAGTCCTGCGGTTAACGATTTAAATATGTCAGCTAAATATGGCGACCAGTTCTTTATGCAAATTAATGATATTGTAATTAATATTTGCGGCCTTATTTTGAATGTTCTGTGAACGACCTGTGGTTGATTATCTACCAGGCTCTTAAAATCGCAATGCTAAATGTTCCTTACACTGACCAAATCATTATAATCTCTAGCACATTTTCTGAGGAGCTTTTTAAAGAGACAAATGATCTACTTCATCAAAAAGTGCGATTACAGTAGCTGTACTAGCAAAGGGAAATAGGAAATAGAATATAAAACAACAAACATTTTTGAAATTTCAAAATCAGAACCAGGATTCTTGAATTGTTCTCTTTTCATATGAATGTGTACCAGACGTATACGGTGTACACTTTGTCATATACGCTTTGCCCGAAATCACATATTTAAAGGTTATTCCTACCGAAACATTTGACTCAATCCTCATTGATATTTTAAAAAGTTGTTTGTATAGACCGTATAAAAATGATATGCAC